TTGAAGTCTCCCATGATGATAATTTTGTAGTTAGTTTTTTGGATAAGAAGGAGTGTTTTTTTGTATATTTCTTTTTTAAGGTTTGTTTTTCTTTAGTAGAAAAGTATATTTGTATAAGTCAAATAGAGTAGTTTGGTAAAGATAGATCTATAGCAAGGATATAACCTTTGTATTCTTGTATTTTGCTAACGAATTTAGAAAGATTTTTATGTATTAGAAGGCCAACTCCACCTTGTCTGGTATTGTCAGTTTCACTTCAGAGGTTGGTGAAGTTAGAGAGGTTTTGAGTTAATGGAAGTAATTTTGTTTCTTTCATGTTTAGATAAGTTTCTGAAAAACCAAAAATATTTATTTGGTTCTCAGTGATAAAGTTATAGAGTAGGGTCTGTTTGGAGTAGGATAGTCCAACAACGCCAGGGTGTAGGATCGATTTTACTATTATATGACTTCCGGTGCTAGTGATCTACATTGTGCATATATTTTCCAACCATATTGAAACCATTTTAAAGTTTAATTTTTTAATTATTTAGACTATTAAATCAGTTGAATTTTCTATATAAACTAAACTAGTTCTGGTAAATTTGATTTCAGGCTAGTTAAATGGTTTAATACTGATATAAAAATATTTTATATTTGCATGGCAATATTTTGTTTTGCACAATCATTTCATTTAATTTATTAATTTTAAACGAACTTTTTTAAAGGATGTCTTATATGAGATGATATTCACAATAATTTAGACTTTTATGATTTTAATTACTTGATAAAATGCATATTTTTTAGAAAAGTGGTATTCTATAAGCCAATGTAAGTTATGTACTTAAATTACTGATTGAAACAACAATTAAGATTATATAAAATCGAAAAACATTTAATTTACATATACAATTTAAGGTAATCAAAAAATAAATAGTAGTGAAATTAGACTATATTTATAAATAATGAGCATATTTAATAATTGGGCACGAATATAAATTTAAAATAAAGAACTTCTGCTTGAATTGTAAGTTAAATAATAATTTCTGAACTGATTCGATTCATAATCAAATAATTAAATCTATTAAAGTCAGAACACGGGTGATAAAATACGCATAAAACAAAAATAAACTTTTATTTTATGTGCATTTAATATATCAAATAATATATACGTTTTTCATATGCATTTTGACTATTCTGAATCAAACTCTGAATTTTATACGCATTTGATATATCGAATAATATATACGTTTTCATATGCATTTTGACTATTCTGAATCAATCAAACCCTGAGTAGTTATTTTTAATCATATTCAAATGAATTAAATAATACTATTTCATTTTATTCACATTCTGTTTAATCAAACGAATTGATCATTAGTTTGTTTTATACTATTTGATTATCTTCAAATAATTGTTAAACCGATCTCTGAATTAAAAGTGAATAAACATATTTATAAATCGCTATCTTCCCTATTAGCTATTTAGAGTTTTCGTAATTAATATTTTGTCAAAAAATAGACTAAAAATTTTGAACCAAATTACTTATCTGATTATTGAAATATTAAAATTGCTCTCAAGCCAAAATAAATTCTATCAATTAGATCAAAACTTCAAAACTAAATAATTTACCATAATAAATCGCACTTAGAATAATGCCTACCTGTAGCACTTGTGTAGGCATTCTCTCTTCTGATGCATTCTTATTTAAGGGTAAATATTATGATACTTGTAACTGCTGTAGAATTTCGAGAGCTGAAAAGAGGAATGCCAAAAAAAATAAATCACTTGATGATTCTGATCTTGAACAAGCATTTATTGAAATAATTTCTATTCAAGAAATTAGTAATTATATCGCCAATGCAATCGATGACCTTAATGATCATGCTGAACTTTCTTTTACCTTCTGTGTTCGACTCGATGAGGCAACTATTAAAGATATTGATGCAGATGTTAGAATTATAGCCAAATTAATTATTGACGAAATAGAAGAAGGTGATAACTATAACTAAACGTATATTAATTTTAATTATACAGTATAAATTTTTGCTTAAATGCATGTATTTGCGTATATGCTTGTTGATCAAATCTAAATAATTATAGAGTTATCCAATAAAATAGTTCAAAGTTTAAAAAATATAATTCTACAACAAATATATACTAAAATCAATAAATTTTACCTAAGTATTATAAAGTATTATTAACTTTATAATAATTAATTGCATTTGCTAATAGAGCTACAACCGCACCAAACCTCTCAGCTTGTCATTCCGGTATTGGAAATGCTTATTTCACGTGCTCTCAAAGTTTTGAACTTGAGCGAGAATTTAAGGATTCAAGTCGTGAAAGAACCTTCCGTTATGACTGGTATAGTAAAATATCAATTAAAATTGATATTCCAGCAACAGAGACAAAAATAATTTTAAAACACAAATTTCTTCATGAAAAACCTGTTAATTTTACAATGCCATCTGAAATAAAGCAGGAAATTAGTAAAAATTTGGACTTAAATCCTGTAGAATTGCAAAAATATCTTTGTAAAAAGTTTGACTTATCTAATGTTACATCGAAGCAGATTCATTATTGGTAGTCGTATCATACACAACACTTCTATAGAAGTGACAAAAATTATATTGTTTCAGCATGTAAGTTTTTTAACCAGCAACAAGAAAATGAATATGAATTATGCTATCAGCTTGAAACTGATAATACAACAGCCATTGGCTTTACAATTAAACTGCTTAACCAGAAACTGCCTAACCAGTCGAATTATTCAGAAATACATTGTGATGCCATCTATAAGACTTTCAAGGGAAAATTTGAACTTTATGACATTGTTGGTAATGTCGAAGGTGCTGGTTTTCCCTTGGTATATTTAATTTTAGATACATTAAAAGCTCAAAAAAATGAAAATCAGGAAGGGTTACGAACCGATGCGCTAGCAGGCTTTTTTTATTCTCTTCGCGATAAAGGTCTAAACCCAACCTATTTTTATACAAATAAAGACTTCGCTGAGATAAATGCTGCAAAAAATGTGTGGCCTACAAGTGACATACAGCTTTGTCAATGGCACATTGACAAAGCTCTTAAAGAAAAATTGAAAAGTTGTATAAAAATTGAGCGGTTAAACTATAATTATGAGAAAGTTATAAAAGAAGAATTTACTTTCGTAAATTCTTCTTTTATACCTGATTTGCAGCATACAGATAGTGAATACTATATAGTTTGCCTCCTGCCCTTCGTGGAACTGTTGTTGAAATGGTTAAAAACTATTTCAATATGCATCCTAAAATACCTACTAATAATAGTCAATTTCTTTCTCCTAAAGAAATAAGAACAAAAGCGGTTTTTGAAATATACGAATTTTGTATTGCAAATAATCTAGTATTGTTATGAATCTACCTATGGTCTTATTGGTATAAATCAACATGGTGGTGTTTGTGGGCACGTTCTTCAAGAACAACTATACCACTTAGCAAAACTAATATGATGATCGAGACACATTGAAGGGTTCTAAAACATTGTTACTTCTACCAATTTAATGCCCACGACTTGACTATCTAATATGAATTATTTGCATACATGTTGTACCTGATCAAGCTAATCGTCTTCAACAATTATTAACTGGCAGAATAGCGCCATTATGGTTCGAAAAATTTAAGAAAGAATGGAGAAATCTTCTTACCAAGCCAGTTAATACTATAAAAAGTCAATATTTTATTGATTTAGAATGTTGGATTTGTAGCTGTCCATCGTTCCTTCAAAGCTGCTTCCTTATATGCAAGCATCTAATTCACAAAGCGTTAGAAAAATCAGGACCTCAAGGTATTCAACTAATTTATTCAAATTTTAAACAACAAACCGACTATCTTTTTTTAATTTAGGACCAAAAAGAATCACAAAATATATCTGAAAGTGTAGAAGCTTTTAGAATGCATAATAAGATTAATATGTTCAATCAAAACCTTACAAATGAAAATGAAGAAAATATTACTGAAAGACGTCAAAAGATAGAATCAAAAATAGCAGCATTGTAGCATTTGGTTGACTATATTAATGAGGAATTGAACGCAAATAATTTTTGGCATATAGAAGCCATTATTAACAATCTAGACTGTGCTTTTACAATTATCTCAGATATTGAAAAGGTAAAGAACCAAAGAGTGCAACATACGACTTGGCGTGATTCGAAACCTTGAACATTATTTCTAAATTAAATAATATAAACTTTTAGTACTGTTATTAATGTTAAACAAAGTCTATTACTATAATAATGGTAAAGTTTTGTCTTAATTAAAATATAGTGCTTTATTTTGAACAATTATATCTGCAAAACTATTGTCTTCAAATCTGGATCTTTAACTTTGCAAATAAGAAATAAAAGTTTCATAAATATTTTTTTACTAGTAACAATAAAATACCGTAGCAAACTTTAACTTACTTGTTTTAAAAAAATATACGAGCAAAACTAAAATTTGAATACTGCTTTAGAATTCTTATTTCATAGCGATAGCGATAGCGATATAGTCAAAATGTTGTTAGCATTTTTGTTGTACAACATATCAGATGTGTAATACAAATCAGGAATGTTTGGTCCCCAGATCATCAGGTCAGAATGCACGTGATAGTAAAATCGATCCTACACCCTGTCAAAATCAGGATAGTCCATTTGTGTTTAGGGAACAGATTTTGAGTTGTTCAAGTGTAAAAGTAGATTAGTTAAGAGGATTTTGAGTTGTATTAGTTATATATAAGGGTTGATTTACGTAATAGTCTTCAGATATGGTAAGTGGTAGTGTAAGAGGAGGGTCTGTTTCATTGTTCATAAAGAGGTTATTTTCAA